TATGAGTGAAATAGCCTATTCTTCAGGGCATCACTAATAAAATAAATTATTCTACACAGCATGGATTTAATACTGTATCTCAAATTTGACACACCCCCATGGTTTTCAAAACTTATAATTCAATAGGAAAGGCTTTGTATCTGTCATGAATTAATCTTGTGCTAAAATCTATCCTCCATTTTTCTGGAAAGAGATTTTTTTTATAAAAGAAAGAAAGAAAAGAAACCTCTCATTCTCAGAGAGGTTTTGAACCTTTTAGTTCAGTTAAACTACAAGCTCCATCATCCATAGCAAGATGTTTGATGATGTCCTATGCACAAAAACCAGGGATAAAAATAGAGATAATAAATAAGGAGTCCACGTGGAAGGCTTTTAGTCAGAGCAGAATGAACTATAGAACTATTTGTAGGTACCAAAAATATACCTCATATGGAACATAAACAATGCGTCATCCTTTAAAAAGGATGGATGAGAACTAAATAATTGATTTCCAGAATATGCATACAAGATTACAAATTCTACACCGTGTTAGTGGCAAAATCCTTGACATTAGGTCATTCCAGCCGAAGACTGAATTCATTTGAGTTAAGCAAAATACCATCAGTAGCAAAATGCAAGCATCACTGTGATACCAACTGCCCAGGATGTAGCTATTGGCACCTGATGCTCCTGTTGCCTTGCTTGTTAGCATTGTTTATTCTTAGCTGCAGTAGGGGATCCTTGCTAATTATATGCTGTATTTCTTCAAGCACTTTTGCCTCTGACAATGACAAATGTGCAAGCTTTAGCGGGGCCCAGTTTCCCAGGTACATCAGGCAGTTTGAGCAGATCACAGTTAAGCTTATCTTCATGTTACATTTATATCTGCCTCTCTCTCCCTCCTATCCATCTATCCATGTATCATGCATCTTCCATTTTCTATAATCTATTTGTCTCTGTCTAAATATCATCTATGTATCTTTCAATCATCTTTCAATCTATCAGTCTATTATCTATCAGTCTATCTCTCAATTTATTGTGTTTTAATGATCCCATAATCCCGTGCATCAGGGTGGAGTCAGGCCACTGAATGGAGCTGAGTGTTTACTGGCTGGATGCCATTCCTGTCACCAATGCGGAGTTCACAGCAGATATATTCTCATTGTGCCCAGAGAGAAATATCTGCCTCTATCTAGGATCAAACTCATAGCCTCCTGGTAAGGCGAAAGCTCTACCTCCAGGCCACTGCACCACTCAAGAGTCTCTCTCTCTGTGTCTATCATTCCACCAAAACAATAGTACTGGGGAACAAAGAGCATCTCTGGAGCTCTGCCTGTTCATTGATTCTCCAGCCATTGCTCAAATACTGTATATACTTCCAAGTATTTCAATCTGGACTCACATGTTCATGCTCTTTCATAACTTTTTTTTTAAAATTAATTCCCTAAATATACAAAAAGGAGGAATGAAGAGAAAATGGGAATAAGAAACCTAAGTGCAAAGGGGAGGAAATCATATTATGATACATATAAAAATCATTCTGCCTAAGTTTTGAACAAGTCATTATACCACAAGTACATAAAATAATACTGACCAGTTTATAGGGAGCGCGGGGGTGGAAACTGTCCTGAACAAATTAAAGCACCGCCTGGACCGTATCTCCAACTTGGCACTTGCCAGATGCATTGAGCTACATCACCACAGGCCAACATCACATTGCATTCAAGCAGAGTTTTAAAGAAAGTCATTTCATGATGCTTACTGCAGAACACAATGAATATATTAGGCACAATTCCTGTATTCAAGCTTAGAATATAGAACATAGAACAGGGATTCCCAACCGGGGTGCTTGGCAATATTCCAGGGGGTACGAAAACTTGGGTTTAGAAGTTTCAAAATTATAGTGTATATGTATGCATATTATTATTTATTATTTATTTTTATTTTATTTTATTTATTTATTTATTTGATTTGTCAATTGTTTACAAGATAATAAGTACAAGTGTATACATAGCTGTGAATATATGAAATGGGTACATATAAGAAAAATAAAAGAATAAGAGAAACAATAGGACAGGGACGGTAGGCACGTTGGTGCGCTTATGCACGCCCCCTACAGACCTCTTAGGAAAGGAGTGAGGTCAATAGTAGACAGTCTAAGGTTAAAGTTTTTGGGGTTTGGGGAAGAGACTACAGAGTCGGGTAGAGTATTCCAGACATTGACCACTCTATTGCTGAAGTCGTATTTCCTGCAATCAAGTTTGGTGCGGTTTACTTTGAGTTTGTATCTGTTGTGTGCTCTTGTGTTGTTATGGTTAAAGCTGAAGTATTCATTGACAGGTAGGACATTGCAATGTATGATTTTATATACCATGCTTAAGTCGGACTTAAGCATGGTATATAAACATGCTTAAGTTATTTTTTTTAATTTTAAAAGAAAACTTTATTAGAGATTAAAAAAGAAAAACACTATGTACAATACATCAAATACAACCTTACGTGTAGACAAAATCTATATATACAAATACATAATAAATAAACATATAAAACATATGCTTCTAATCAACTAAGACGGTGTGCTTTTTTCTTGGTAATAATTTTACTACTATTCATTTCTTATTTGGTAAACATTCTTAATTTAACTACTCCATTCATCAAAAACATATCTTTTAATTTCCTGTTTTTTTCTCTTTAATCCACTTATACCATTTATCCCAAGCTGTAATATATCCTGAGTCTTCCTTATTCCTAAGTTTTTGTGTAAGTAGGTCCATTTCAGCACAGTCAAGTATTTTCTGAGTAATCAAATTATTTGTTGGCATTTGTTCGCCCTTCCAACATTGTGCCAACGCAATTCTTGCCGCTGTGATTATATGGAGAATTAAATATTTCATTTCATCTGTATAGTCCCCTTTTAACATTCCCAACAAAAATATTTCAGGTTTTAATTCTAATTGAATACTTGTAATTTCTTTTATCCACAGTCTAATTTTTTTCCAATATTTTTTATTTTTTGGGCAGAGCCACCAAGTGTGGAAGAAGGTGCCCCTCGTTTGCTTACATTTCCAACACATTGGACTCATGTTTGGATAAATGTTAGCTAACCTTGAGAGTGACAGATACCACCAGTAACACATTTTATATTGATTTTCTTTATAGATCACCGATTTTGTTATTTTGTAATTTTGATTCCAATTTTTTTTCCCAATCTTCCAAATTAATATTGTGCCCTACATTCCTTGCCCATGCGATCATTGGGCCTTTAACTATTTCTTCCACCATTTCATATCCTAACAGGTAGTTATTCATTTTTGAGATTAATTTTTCATCTGTTCCCTCCAATGTTTTATCTAATTGATTCGGTTTTATCTCAATCCCAAACTCTTCCATGTCTTTTTTATATCTTGCCTTGAGTTGTAAATATGGCCACCACTTTATTTTCATCCCTTGTTCTCTAATTTCTTGATTAGTCATTAATCTTCCTTGGGAATATAGTATATCATAATACGTAATATTTCTTCCAGTTTCTAGTGCGTTTGGGGTGGACCAATGCCTCTATGATGGAAACCCATCCTGGGATCTTTATATAATGCTTGTGTTTAATTTCTTTCCATACATTTAAAAATGAACATCTAATTATCTGCCTATTAAAGTGTATGTAACTTTTATTTCCAGGGTTCCACATGAAGGCATGCCACCCTGCTTCCAAATCATGCCCTTCTAGAATTAAAACTCTTTTGTTTCTCAAATTGGCCCAATCCTTAATCCATGTTAAAATTGCCGTTTTATAATATAGTTCCCAGGCAGGAAGCCCAAATCCACCTTGGCATCTATTATCTTGTAAGGAGCTTAATTTTATTCTAGGTTTTCCCCCTGACTTTATTATTTATTTTTAAGGGGTGTGAGAATATATCAGAAGTGTTCTAGGGGTGCAGGGTATAGAAAACCCCTGATACAGAATAATAGAGTTGCAAGGGACCTTGGAGGTTATCTAGTCCACCCTCCTGCTCCAGCAGGTGACCCTATATTGTTTTCATATAAATGGTTGTCCAGTCTCTTTTTGAAAGCCTTCAGTGATGAAGCACCCACATTGCTGAAGGCAAGCTATTCCATTGGTTGTATTGCACTCTGCTTTATCCCATCCTGAGTAAATCTTAAAACTCTGGTATCTCATCAACTAAAAGGACCCAGTTCAGCTCCTATCCAGAACTTCTGCATCTCATTCAGTGTATGACCATCATTGCCAGGAGTTCGATTCCTTTGATCCTGACAGGTTTAAGGTTGACACAATCTTCCAAGGTCAGTAAAACGAGGACCCAGATTGTTGGGGGCAATTTGCTGACTCTGTAAACCGTTTAGAGAGGGCTGTGAAGCACTTTGAAGTGGTATATAAGTATAGAGTGCTATTGCTATTTCTCAAGTAAAACAGAACCGGCTGTTTTAAGATGGGTGGACTTCAACTCCCAGAATTCCCCAGCCAGACTGGCTGGGGAATTCTGGGAGTTGAAGTCCACCCATCTTAAAGCAGTCACATTTGAGAAGCATTGAATTAAAGGCAACCAGCATTAAACCTGCTGAGTCCCCCCTCACCCTATTCTTCAGCTTCTAATTCAACTTCTACAAGAATAAAAAAGCTGCCTTTTGCGTACAAGCTACAGAACGAAAAAAAAAATGTATTCCCCCCCCCCCCCCCCATTTTGCCCTCCCCCCCTCCATGGAGGGAGAATCGGCAGCAAAGGAGAAAGTGGGGGAGGAGGAGGACGAAATGGAAATCGTTTACATTATATTGATTGGGGACAATAGGGACTGTAGTCCTCCCCATCAAAACGCAACCGAAACGCCGACGAAAATAACTCGGCGCGGACCAGCTTCTCCTGAGGAGGAGGGAGGGGGGGTTCTGAGAAGGAGTCCCTGTACGGAAGGGAAAAAAAATGGCTACGCCCTGCCGATGCACAGAAGGCATCCATCGCCCCGAGTCCGTACCGCGTGGCGTCATCACGTCCCGCCGTTCAACGTTCCAATACAGGTTTGCGCGTTGGGAGGAGGGCGACGCTGACGACGCGGAGAGTCGACTAACCTGGACGGGACGTAAAAAAGGCGCTTGTTACTTGGGCAACGACGAAGGCTAGGTACCCTCGGGTCTATCGTCCTTTTTTCCCCTTCCGGGGACCTCCGGAGACAGTTGGACTACATCCTTTACGAACCCTGGTCCAGTGGCTGGGAAGGATGGGCCCTGTAGTCCAGTGTCCCTGTAGGTTGTCGGGCGAAGGAAGGCTGAGGTTATATTATGAATGTTATAAAGACCCGTTTTTGTGCCTGACGTTTGTCTGGGTGCTCCAAAAGATGACTGGGAGTTTAGGGTTTGTTTGATTTTTTTTTTAAAAAAGGAAAATCTGGACTTGATGGGCAGAGATATTTCAGGGTTCTGTCCTTTTGGAGCTGAGAGCGAATTTAAGGGTCCTGAGTGCCTGTCTTTATTTGGTCCTGGGAAAGCCGCCTGAAGTTGTGGATGCTCCAATCTGAAAAGTTATCTATCCAGAATGGATAAATTCCTGCTTTGTATGGGGATGGACTAGAAGTCCTTCAAGATCCCTCTCAACCCTGGGTTTATGGGAACAAAAGAAACAGATCCAAGAATAGATTACAAAAAAAAAAAAAAAGCAGAGGTTTTAAGAAGCAAGGACATTGTGGAAAGTCAGCTCCCAAAACTTTCAAGACTAAAAGGTGTTGGTTCTTCTGAATTGGCTTTGGATCTTCTTCGAGCAGCCTTTTAAAGTTTGGCTTAATCCAGTGGTTGGTTCATGTATAGGAAAGGGCAAGGGTAGGCAGACGATTGTTGTAAGCTAGGATATGCAAAAGTGGCCTAGGGAGGAAAAATGCATTTTTTCTAAATAAGAAACAAAAGCATAATATTTATATATGCCTAAATATAGCTGCATGGCAACATGATAAAATGTGCAACTCTAAAAGGAACTCAGCATGTTTAGGTAGAAATTGGACCACTGTCTTTGCTTCTTTAACGACTCCAGCACTGATCAAGTTATATGGCCAAAATGAACTCTTCTGCCTCTGTAGTCTTACAAATCTGTGAAATGTAAGGTTTTGAGCATGATGTTAATTTGTAGATGGAGGGCCCCAATGTAATTTAACTTTAATATGTCAATAGCAAACCATTAATATATGAAATATCTGTACCCAACAGATTTGTGTACTCTTTGACACCCATTTTCCTTTTTGTACCTTAATAGTTTAATTCTCTTACAACTCAGGATGTCTACACCGCCTCTAGCAGGGCCAGGATTGCCTCCTGGTCCATTTTCTGGGCCTCAGGGTCAGGCTGCACGAGAAGTGAACACAGCTTCGTTGTGTCGCATTGGTCAAGAGACTGTGCAGGACATTGTATTCCGCACTATGGAAATCTTCCAGCTGTTAAGAAATATGCAGGTAAAGAATCACCTGTCCAAATAGTGCTATCCTATTATCTCTTTTAGAAAACCTGAATTAAATTGAAAAAAGTGCACAGTAAAAAACATATAAGCAGAAACAACTTTGGCATTCAGAAAAGGAAGTCTTTGCCTGCCACATATTTTCATTAAAAAAAAAAAAAAAGACTTGCTTTAACGATTTATCTGCCTTTCTCCCCAGATAATTTACTTTTAAAATTGGAGAATCTTAGCTTCACTAGGAATATAGTAAAGAAGGCAGATAATTATTTTCTAATTAATCTGCCTTTGGAGAGGGTTCATTTTGAGAGGATTCATTTTGAGTTCAAGGCTTTTTTTAGACAAAATGTGCTGCTATGAAGAAAACAGATCAATTGCATATTCTAGTTAAAATATAGGTAAGTGATTTATAAATTGCTAATAGTGGGTATGTAAGTTCTTTCTGTTTTTTCCCCCCTTAATGTAGTATATAACCTTGCTTCTGCTTATTTGTGTGTACCTTGATAGCAGCTGGTAAATGTCACTTTATTATTCCATAGCTGGTAAATTTGTAGGATTTTTCCATAGTCACTTTCATTTCTTCTAAAACATTCCTCCCCAGTTTTTTATCTTTAAATTCTAAAATAATTATCCTAACTTCTTTTATTTTGATTATTTAGGATTATTTTTAATGTAATTCATATTTCCACTGAATTTCTAGAGAATTCAGCCAGTATTCTTTTAGCAATTTAGAGTTTTTACAGACTGTTTTAAAAACATAGTATACAGCCGCTTGTATTCTAAAAAATATAATAATGGTGGGTGCTTCATTACTAGAAGTTTAGTAACCGGAAGAGCAGGTGACTGGCGTGCATGTGCACACTGGCTAGCTAAGCTTCTGGTTTCCGGCGCTCCTGCCCATTCACGTTGGGGAGCTGCTCTTTTTGCATGCACGTTCCGGTTTCAGCATTCTCAGAAATATCTCTGACTTTATAGAATTCTTTTCCAGAAGAAACTCAACCAGTATTCAAAAACATATTTTGTAGGCATGTCATAATTTTATGGTGGTGTTTTAAACTTTCATTATTATTTTCTGTTTTGTTATTTTCTGTTTTGTTATATGCTTCAGTGAAAGGAAGTACTATATAGACATTGGATAATATTTATTCTAAATAAATGGAATGAAGTTCAGATAGCATTGGAAACTAACAAAGTTTTTGTCAAAAACTTTTCATGCTTGTTGAAGAAATGAGTCAGGTTTCCTTTTGTCTTTGTATATTCTCAAGGGTAGCTGAAATTTGATTTCTTGCTATTAAATATTTGAATATTCCAGCTTCCAAATGGTGTCACCTATCATACGGGCACATATCAAGACAGATTAGGAAAGCTGCAAGAACATCTGCGCCAACTCTCAATACTGTTTCGGAAACTGAGATTAGTATATGATAAATGCAATGAAAATTGTGCAGGACTTGAACCCATTCCAATAGAGGTAAGTGAAATGGGAGGGGAGACAGGCACAAATATCTAGACCAGAAGAAGAGGGAAACTGATTTGTTTCCAGTTCTCATTTATTCTAAAATCCCAAAATTCTTCATGTGAAACCTGGACTAAAATGGATACACCCAAATGCTAGTAATAAAAGTACTGTAAAACCTTGACTTAATGGATCATTGGGGGAGGAGGGGTTCCATTAAATACAAATGTCTGTAAAGTTCAAATTTATCTTGTTTACATCCATTTATATTGTTTGCATAATTACCTAACTGATGCAAATAGCACCATTAGCACTAAAACTTCAATTTAGTAGAGAAATCCTCAATTGAATAGACATTTGTCTGTTAAATGGGATGAAGCCCAAATGAAATCTTTGTCCACTATATCTGAAGTCCACTCAGCTGAGGTCCATTAAACCAAGAGTTTACAATAATTCTCTCTGCAAAAATACTCTCCTTCTTTACCTCATGGTTTCTCAATTGCCACAACAAAAAGAGGGGAAATTATTGTATTGCTCTTACTGTGAAACTACCGAGAGCTAATATACTGCAGATCACTGAAGGATCTGCCAGAACATCCAGATCAGCTTACATACGGTATCCATCATGATTTCCAGATGGTGAAACTTAATGTATTTTCTGCTTATGCCTTTTGATCGTGGTTGAAAAAGTTTTAGGGAGTTTGCAAGTTGGTAAAAGGCAAAGTATATTTTTATTGCTTTGAGACATCTTAAATTTCCTAAAATGTCCCAAAACAGATTGTATAATATAAATGCTGTTAGAAAAAGAAACATTTCTGTAATTTCATATTTATCATAATTATTATTCTGACATAGCTTCTCACGCGAGATTCCACCAGATATTCTCCATCTTTATATAGGAATTTTTTCCCCCAAATTTACAGCAGCTCATTCCTTATGTGGAAGAGGATGGCTTTAAACATGATGACCGAGGAGCCACCAACCAGCTACTCTTTGCTAGTGAAGAAAGACGGGAAATCATGGAAGTTATCAAGGTAGACTGTGTTCTATTTCTGGGTACCTTTTTGTGTAATTGTAAGCCAAATATATATTGAAAACAAAGATTAGTAAGTAGACCCCAGGATACAAATGTTGGGTCATGTATGAAATTTCATAGTTTATAGCAGGGGTGTCAAAACTCAAGGCCTGGGGGCTGGATCCAACCCACGGGGTACTTAGATTGGGGCAGCTCTGAAACAGCGAAAACTGGCCCACGGTGCTTCTTCCAGCGCAAACAGCTCATGCAGCCGTCCCGACCTCCATTTTTGCTGCCAGAGGGTTGCAGGAAGCCGTGGTAGCCAAAAATGGAGCTTGAGCTCCTACTTTTGCTGGCAGAGCTCTCGGGCCACCACAGGTGCCCCTGACATGAGTGACATTGAGCTGGCCATGCCCAGCCTGGCCCCCCGAGGTCAAACAACCCTGATGCGGCCCTCAATGAAATCGAGTTTGACACCCCTGGTTTATAGTTATGAAAAAGAAATAAATAGAATATTCTTTTTTGGCAAATATGATTGGACACCCAAGGAATGTGCTGGTGCATAAGCTCTTACAAATAAGCAACAAAGTGATAAATGATAAGATACAACCATAAACCATAAGATACAACCAACAAAGTATAGCCATAAAATACCAATAGGCGTAGGTAATAGGAAAAACGAGGATAATAGTAACACAGTCCTGTGTCATGGTTAGATATCCTTAGGCGTAGACAGTGCTGTGGGAATTAGGTGTTAGCAGAGTGATGGCATGGGAAAAGAAACTCTTTGTGTCTAATTGTTTTGGCATGCAATGCTCTATAGCAGCATTCTGAGGGGAGAAGTTGAAACAGTTTATGTGCAGTTTATGTGAGGGGTTGGTCAGTCTGTCTGTCTGTCTGTCTGTCTGTCTCTATCTATCTATCTATCTATCTATCTATCTATCTATCTATCTATCTATCTATCTATCTATATTATTGGGTAGTAGAAAAAGGAATTATAGGGGTGAGAGTGTCTTAAAGACAATTTTTGAACAACTGTCATTGAAGGTGTTTATACTGAGATTGTGAACCAAACATTTCAGAACATTGTAGAATTTTTAATTTTTCATTAAATTGTTTTAATTTGTAAAGTAGCCAAGTTAGCTTATCAAACATATTAACAAACACATTAAAACAATGTATAAATGCATTTAAAATCCTAGAATGGTCTGAAATGTTTGCTACACGGTCTCAGCCAGTTTGGTCTGATGGTTAAGGCGCCAGTCTAGAAAGCAGGAGACTTTGAGTTCAAGTCCCAACTTGACCATGAAAGCCAGCTGGGTGAATTTGGATCAGTCACTATCTCTCAGCCCAATCCACCTCACAGAATTGGTAGCTGTAGGGAAAATAGAAGGAAGAAATATGTTGGATATATTTGCTGGCTGAAGTTATTTCTAAAAATAATAAAGGCAGGATACAAATAAATATCATTTTTCTCCTTTAGTTATATAATAATTTTCCAGGAGGTTATATTACACTATTTTATTTACTTAAAAGGTTACATTAGAAAAACATATTCCTTATTCTAGGGCTATATATAATAATTTCTTATTTAGACATTTTGAGATGATGATATTCTAGATATCCTTAACTGTCCACGAATTAGTATTTGTTGCTGATTTTTATTAAATGCTAATTCTTGTAGGACACTGTCATTTTATGTTTTGAAAATTAATTATGTGTCTGGGGAAACCAATCAAACTTTAGAAATTCTACTTAACTCCGAAATGAGGAATTTTGTTAGGTGCTTTATTGATAAATTTACTATGTCATTTGCTTGGTCTTTCCATTTGTATAAGGATGGGGCTGGTTATTCATTCATGGGACACTAATTGAAAAAAAAAAGAGTAGATTCTTCTAAAAACTCAGGACCTATTTTCTTTCTTTAACTGGACTCTTCTATCAAGTGCCCTACATTATTCTCCATTGAACTCCCATTGCCCATTGATAGTTATTTTTTTATTAGAGTAAACTCTATGCAATTCTTGCTACTCTCTGAGCTTGGTTGTTTGCTTGCAGACGTTTCATTACCCAGCTAAGCAACATCATCAGTGCAAGCGAGTGTAGTGTTTTGCTGCCTATTTATATGCAGTAGCTTATAAGAATTTCTATTTGGAACTTCCAAGTATCCATATTTGTTAAGTATATATAATCTGCTAATTTGAAGAAAGACTCATTTGGGACAGAAAGTCTACAGCTCCCTCCCAAATTAACATCTGATCCTGAGGTTTCGACGATCCATAAGTATGTCTCTATTCTTGACATTTAAAGAAGGTCAGGGATGTGCTCAATCATTTAACAACCTAGATCGATTTAAAGCGTTTTATTTTTTTTCCAGGCAGTAGATTTGGACACCACTATTTGTTTCCTTCAAAGGATTGTCAGTTTTACTTTTTGGAGAGAAATTGCATGACATTTTTTTTTAAATCAGGGAACAGTTGATGTGATCAAATGTCTCTAGGTAAATACACTGCTCAAAAAAATAAAGGGAACACTTAAACAACACAATGTAACTCCAAATCAATCACACTTCTGTGAAATCAAACTGTCCGCTTAGGTAGCAACACTGATTGACAATCAATTTCACATGCTGTTGTGCAAATGGAATAGACAACAGGTGGAAAGCATAGGCAGTTAGCAAGACATCCCCAATAAAGGAGTGGTTCTGCAGGTGATGACCACAGACCACTTCTCAGTTCCTATGCTTTCTGGCTGATGGTTTGGTCACTTTTAAATGCTGGCAGTGCTTTCATTCTAGTGGTAGCATGAGACTGAGTCTAAAACCCACACATGTGGCTCAGGTAGTGTAGCTCATCCAGGATGGCACATCAGTGCAAGCTGTGGCAAGAAGATTTGCTGTGTCTGTCAGCGTAGTGTCCAGAGCATGAAGGCACTACCAGGAGACAGGCCAGTACATCAGGAGACGTGGAGGAGGCCGTAGGAGGGCAACAGCCCAGCATCAGGACCGCTACCTCCGCCTTTGTGCAAGGAGGGACAGGAAGAGTACTGCCAGAGCCCTGCAAAATGACCTCCAGCAGGCCACAAATGTGCATGTGGCTGCTCAAACGGTCAGAAACAGACTCCATGAGAGTGGTATGAGGGCCCGATGTCCACAGGTGGGGGTTGTGTTACAGCCCAACACCGAGCAGGACGTTTGGCATTTGCCAGAGAACACCAAGATTGGCAAATTCGCCACTGGCGCCCTGTGCTCTTCTCAGATGAAAGCAGGTTCACACTGAGCCCATGTGACAGACGTGACAAGGTCTGGAGACGCCGTGGAGAATGTTCTGCTGTCTGCAACATCCTCCAGCATGACTGGTTTGGCAGTGGGTCAGTAATGGTGTGGGATGGCATTTCTTTAGGGGGCCGCACAGCCCTCCATGTGCTCCCCAGAGGTAGCCTGACTGCCATTAGGTACCGAGATGAGATCCTCAGACCCCTTGTGACACCATATGCTGGTGCGGTTGGCTCTGGGTTCCTCCTAATGCACAACAATGCTAGACTTCATGTGGCTGGTGTGTGTCAGCAGTTCCTGCAAGGTGAAGGCATTGATGCTATGGACTGGCCCGCCCATTCCCCAGACCCGAATCCAATTGAGCACATCTGGGACATCATGTCTCGCTCCAGCCACCAATGCCACGTTGCACCACAGACTGTCCAGAAGTTGGGGGATGCTTTAGTCCAGGTGTGGGAGGAGATCCTTCAGAAGACCATCCGCCACCTCATCAGGAGCATGCCCAGGTGTTGTAGGGAGGTCATACAGGCATGTGGAGGCCACACACACTACTGAGCCTCATTTTGACTTGTTTTAAGGACATTACATCAAAGTCGGATCAGCCTGTAGTGTTTTTTTCCACTTTAATTTTGAGTTTAACTCCAAATACAGACCTCCATGGCTTGCTAAATTTGATTTCCATTGATAATTTTTGTGTGATTTTGTTGTCAGCACATTCAACTATGTAATGAACAAAGTATTTAATAAGAATATTTTATTCATTCAGATCTAGGATGTCTTATTTTTGTGTTCCCTTTATTTTTTTTGAGCAGTGTATTTGTCTGTGGGGAGCAGGTGACTGTTAGCTTTGCATGGATTGGTTTTGCTGTAAAAGGAGGCCATGGAGGGGAGATAGGTAGAAAGATAGGGATAGAGAGATGTTTTCCATTTGGTATTTAAAAGATGAAAAAGAGCTTGTGTGTTTCTTTAAAATAATAAGCCACACTGAGTTGTATTCAACCGGTATCCTTGAATAAAATTCTTTATCCCCTGAAGGGAAAGCTTTTATCTCAGGAACAAATTATTTTTCATCTCCATGTCACCTCTCCTACTTACTTAGTTTCCCCCAGTGTTTGTTCTAAAGGACCTGAATAATTAGGTGTTGTTGCACGGAGAAGAGAAGGATCACCATTTAGGCACATCCTGATATTTATTTCCACCTCTATGCTACCATCAGAAGCTGCCATAAGATCAAACAGCCATTGTCAGCAGAAGGATGCCAGCTGTTTATAATTCAGTATATATTCAGTTTAACCTACATAGGCCTAAAATTAATTGTCGGCAGTGGGCAGAGTTTTCCTTGGTTCACCGATTTAACTCTCACAGAACAAAGTTTGTAGGAATAAGCATACACAAATTTTAGACTTGCAGGGAACAATCTTTTATGGCAGGTTTGAGGAGTGGCATGATGAACTTACAATAGAAGTAAAAAGAGCTTCAGAGAGCAAGGACGATAGAAGGCCAGACAGAGGAACCCTGTTCTCCCTCTTCTTGTCCATCTATGGATAAGGCTTTGATTCCAGAGACCTTGGAAGTTAGACGCATAATTATTGAATGGTCAGGATAAAGGAAACATGATAGGAATTAAAAACTCCATCTCTGCCCCTGAATTATTTTCTGCAGAATGATGTGCAGTTTTGCACAGAGGGGGATTGTGTGAGTCTTTTGACATAATTTCTTTAGGAGGGAGGGGGGAACACTCTCTT